CAACTATTTTTTTAATTTATTTATTCACAAAATAATGACGGTCAATATTTGTCACGAAATATAGTCATTCCATGACGCACATATCGATGTAGATACAATGACGTACAAACAATGTCACACAAAAGATGTCGTACAAACAATGTCGCACATACAATGACGGTCACAAAACAAGGACAGTCATAAAGATGTCGGTTGTCACCCGTCATGGTTATCCTTTCATGACGGGCACGTCCGTCATGGAAAACGCTATACATGACGGGCACTGTCCGACCTTAAAAGGGTCGTTTCATGACGGTCATGTCCGGATGGAAAGAGAATATACATGACGGGCAATGCCCGACCTTAAAACTGTCCGACATGAAAGGGAAACAAGGACACTCGTATAGATGTCGGTCAGTGACCGACATGGTTAATGTTTAATGTCGGACAATGCCCGTCATAAAATAGCAGATTTGTTGTAGTGTGAGGAGCAAAATATATTGTATTATTATTTGAGTATTAGATTATATGAATTATGTACTCTTTTTCGAGATTTTTTTTCCTTAGGTTTTTCTTAGTAAGATTTTAATGCCTTAAAGTGGCCCAAATGTTTAAATCCTAATGTTCCATGTGTCTTCATTCTGCTCATGATTAGTGCAATTTTGTAACACGTCATGTTCCCCATAATCACCTATAAATAGGGCATGTTTGTGAGTTATAAAATACATGAAAATTGGAGGGAAAATTTGGTGGAAAATTCCATTTTGAAATTCTTATGTATTTTATTTTATAATTTTGTAATTTTACCTATTATCCAATTTTATTTTTCCGTTGTTCTTATTCTCGTGTGCCTCGTTTTGTTCTTCAATTTTACAACTCCAGTCATTTTCTCTCTCTTTCTTTTTTTTTCTCTCTCTTGGGTCTTTTTCCTTTTCTCTTTTTGCCTGTTTATTTGTTTCCAAAGATAATAAAGGCCAAAGTTATTGGTGTTACACATTCTAAGACTCTTCCACGTTCTACTTCTGCAAATTTTCAAGACTCTTCGTTCCTCACTTTCTCCTACACGCTTCAAATTTGAGTTTGGAGAATTTTATTTTTTCTTTTGATTTTGGAAGCAGAACTTAACAGCAATTTTAATCTACTAATAAGAATGTTTAATTTGAACCCTCACAATTTAATTTTTAGAATTAAAAGTTTGTGGATATAATTGCAACCACTATTATAGTTGATTTATGAAATTTACTCTATCTTTTTTTCCAAGTGCTAAAAGACAAATGGATGTTACTACCCAAGAGCACGTAGAAAGTCAAAATGAAAAATCCTAACCGATTCCAAAGAGAGAACCGAAAAAGAGAGAGTGAAAGAAATTATGAAATTATTTATCTTAGACAATTAATTAAATTACAAAATCTAAAAAGCAAGAATTTGAGATCTTCATAATCCTCATATTATTCATAAACTTGAACAGATAATTTCAAATCTTCTCAAAGTCTTCCGAAAAATCTTCATAGTTCCTATATAAACTGACCTACACCCCTCAGAATCATCAACAGTCTCTCTTTTTCCGATTTCCTTCTGTTTCCATAGAGAGAAAATGAAAGCTCCACTGCTGTTTTTGCTCTTCTTCTTTCTGCAGGTTGCCGTCAACTATGCAACACCATTTGAAATTGATCGTGCCAGTACAGCCGGAAAGCTGAGCCGACACCGCTTTCCGAAAGGCTTCGTGTTCGGAACGGCCACCGCCGCGTACCAGGTCGAAGGGATGGCTCATGGCGACGGCCGTGGCCCTAGCATCTGGGATGCCTTTGTTCAAATCCCTGGTTTGTGACAACCATTATAATTTTTATAACTTTTAAACCAAAATGGTTATTTAATTTTCATTCAAAATTAAAATTTGCTGTTTATGTCATTACAATGATATCTAAAGTTTAGTACTTGCTAAAAATTTTGATTTTTGATTTTTTTTTTTGGGATATAGGAAATGTAGCAAATAATGCTACTGCAGATGTTTCAACAGACCAGTATCATAAGTATAAGGTAAATTCATAGTTTCCTTTTCAGAAAAATGTTTATATGTTCTCAAATAATATTATTTATTTTCTTTTTACAGATTGATGTCAATATTTTGACCAAGCTAAACTTTGATGCCTATCGCTTCTCAATTTCTTGGTCCAGAATTTTTCCAAGTAAATTCTTAAAATCTCTTTCATTTTATTCATAGTCCATTTTTTCACAATATACATATCAAAACTTTGTTTCAATTCTATGTTATGCAGATGGGAAGGGGAAAGTAAACTGGAAGGGAGTTGCATACTACAATAGATTGATCAATTACTTAATCAAAAAAGGTGATTTCAAAATAAATTGAAGTTAACAAATCATGTTGAATTTTTCTCTTTTTTTGTTCAGAATTTTAACCTGGTTTTAATTGTCTATCTTTCAATTATGCTCTATTGATATATTTAGGCATTACTCCATATGCCACTTTGTATCATTGGGATCTTCCTCTAGCACTAGAGAAGGACTATGATAGCTTTTTGAGTAGCAAAGTAGTGTGAGTCCTAAATTAATTACTTGAGTAATATTTGATTTTTCAAATCCCCACAGTATTTATTAAATGTTTTATCTCTGTTTCAAAATGTACAGTGAGGATTTTGCAAATTATGCTGAGTTTTGTTTCAAGACGTTCGGTGATAGAGTTAAGAATTGGATGACATTTAATGAACCGAGAGTTGTAGCATCTCATGGATACGATTCTGGAGATTTTCCTCCTGCAAGATGTTCCAATTGCACGGTTGGAAATTCGGGAACCGAGCCTTACATTGTTACCCATAATATAATTCTATCTCATGCTGCTGCAGTTCAAAGATATAGAGAGAAATATCAGGTAATAATTATATAAGTTTTCTTTTATCATGAATTGAATAATATTTGTTCACAAAATAAGAGCAATAGAAAGTGGTACAATTGTCTTAAACAACTAAATTTATTTCCTTTACACAGAAAAAACAAGGAGGAAGGATTGGAATTGTTCTCGAGTTCATGTGGTACGAACCACTTACACATTCTAAGGCTGATAACCATGCAGCTCAAAGAGCCAGAGATTTTCATGTTGGATGGTAAATGGTTAAACACAGCAGTTTGATAATGATTTCATTTCAAAAAACAATAGTGTTTATAAGCTAAAATTCCAAAAATAAAGAATAAAATGATTACAAACGGATTCCACAGGTATATGCATCCTCTCGTGTATGGCGAGTATCCGAGATCGATCCAAGAGCTCGTAGGTGAAAGGTTACCAAAGTTCACTCAAGAGGATGTCAAAATAGTTAAAGGCTCAATAGATTTCTTGGGAATGAACCACTACACTACTAACTATGCTTATGACATTCATCCTTCAAAACCCAAAACAAATTTGAGCTATAGAGATGATTGGAACGTGGGAACTAGTAGTAAGATCATGTTTCTTCTCAAATTATTTTCATTCAAGTTGAACCATTAAAATAGTAGAGTCTAAAATACTTTCTTTTTGTTACTTTCTTACAACTTCTGCAGCCGTGAAGAATGGAGTTCCTATCGGTGCAAATGTAACTCTCAATTCCATCCTTAAAATCCTCAACTTTGTCAACTTTAAATTGTAACATGCCATCTTGTTTTTTAATGTGTTTTTTTTCAGCCTTTTACCAAACGACATCCTATTGTCCCTTGGGGAATGCGTAAAGCTTTGATGTATATGAAGGAAACCTATGGAAATCCTACCATCATTGTGACAGAAAATGGTAAATCTTCTCTTTATCTCGTTCTGACTGCCGAACTGCCACCTACTACTGTAACCAACTAACCGACCCACCTATTACTGTAACCAACGTTGCGGGACTGGTTCCGAGTGGGGCTTTATATAGTCTCATGAGCTTGTCAAAATTTTGTTATTATGAATGGATTTGAGTGATCGAAAGTGGATGGTTTCAGGCATGGACGACCCAGGAAGTGAAACATTGCGTGAAGGAGTTTATGATTCTACTAGAGTTCGGTTCTACAAGAGTTATTTGGCGCAAGTGAAGAAGGCAATTGATGAAGGAGCTAATGTGAAAGGCTATTTTGCTTGGTCGTTGCTGGACAATTTTGAATGGACAATGGGTTACACTTCAAGATATGGAATTGTGTATGTGGATTACAACACCCTCAAGAGATATCCAAAGAAGTCGGCTTATTGGTTCAAAACTTTTCTTAAGAGAAAGAAGAATAGAGTTTAGATACTTAATTTCTACTTTGATAAGATAGATTTTATGAGCTCAAAATGAAACTGATTGTTTCAAATTTTCTATCTTCTGTTTATTTATTGTCTTTTTTATTTTGGAGAAGAATTTTCTCTCTAGTTTTAGTTTGGTTGAAATGGATTGTCAAAATTTTAAATTTGGAATAAATTAGTCTTTACCATCAAAACTTTTATATTGTCCGTCTTTTACGGTGTTATTATTGTTGCTATTCCCTATTTGGATGGTAAGGATAAAAGTAAGCTAACAAATATTATGTCAATCACAACTTCAGGTAATTTATGCTAATTAATCCCACGTCAAGTGGCCGGAAGAGAAATCGACCCAACTAAAATCACAATCTCTCTCTTGGGCTGTTAAAAAGTGGGCCACACCTGTATTATTTTTCTCATATTTGTAAGCAACCTAAAAGGAAAGATGTTACATCGTTTATAGAGTTAGCCGTTGGCCATTCTATAATTCAAGAAAATGAGATTTGTAATTCACAAAATTCAGTTGGCTTTAATCCTCATGTTTAAATATTTTTTTTTCTTTATGGTATCAGAGCTTTGTACGTGAAAGAGTTGTTTTTCTGCCACTGTCTTTTCCTTTACAAACCTCATGGCTGAAATCAGAGTCATCACTCACTCTATAGACCTTCCATCACTGCTCTAGTTTGGTTTCAATCAAACTAAACCACTCAAACTATCTATTATGGAAGAGGGTCTACTAACCTCCTAGTTCTTGGGAACCATCAATGAAGGAACTGAATTTACTCAACAGGTATGGAGCTATCTTGAAGAGCAACTCCTGAAACTCACCAAGGAAAATGAAATGCATCGTAATGAGATGCTAGTAAGTAAAAAGAAAGGTACTCAAACTCTAGAAGAACATATAAGAAATTTAAATCCATATATTAGTTGCAATGAAAAAGCCTCTTGATGATATTACAAAAGTCTTTCATCTAGCAACAGCCTTAGGTACAAAATACAAGGATTTTAGGATAGCCATGTTATCCAAACCTCCTTATCCAACTTACCATCAATTTGTTTTAACCTTAAGAACCATGAGCAGCAGCTTAGCCTTGTAATTGAGGAAAAAAATTAACACTAGCAGACCACAATTCAGGCTTACTTTAGTGAAAGAGGGAAAGCAAACGGAGGTGGCAGAAGATTTACATCCAAAGGAAGAGATCTATAACGAAGGAGAACAAACTACGCTTCTTCTTTCCAACAAAACAGCCACAATAATTATGAAAAAAGGGGAACTCAAAGCAGACTAGCACCTCATAGCAAAACTAAAAATGTGGTGGTCGATCAAATTTGTGGAAAAATGAACCACTCGGCCTTGGAATGCTGGAAAAGAATTGATCACACCTATCAAACATCGGTGAACGAATCGTTTGATCCCAACATCTATACGGATTCAAGTGCTACTACCCATGAAATCAACGATCCAGGTAAGCTAAAAGATTGTATGTAGGGAATGGAGAAGCCTTAAACATCACTCACACTAGCACACATCACATATCCACAGATGTCAACACTTTGGCTCTTACAAATGTCTTGGTAGTATCAGATCTGAAAAGAATTTAATATCTAGTAGCAAAATAACTCAAGACAATGATTATACCATTAACCTTTAATACCAATGGCTTTATTATTAAGGATAACCATGGCAAGATCTTGGGTCGAGGACATAAAGCAGGCCTATACGCTTTAGTAGAGCAGAAACAAGAACTTTTGCAAGCTTACACAACATTTTCTACTTCAAATAAAGCTGCATACACAATTTGGCACAAACGAATGGAACACATGAATGATAAATCCCTAAATATCTTTGTGATTCTTACTTAGTAGATGTGTGTAGTTGGACAAGAGAAGAGTCTTTATGTAGTGAGTCAAAATGAGCAAAAGTTGTAGGCTCCCCTTCCATCAAATAATACTATGAGTGTTGTTCCCTTGCATAAGATACATTGTGACTTTTGGGGGCCTGCTCCTTTACCTTCGTGTCAAAACTTTAGATATTATGCATGTTTCACAGATGATTACTTGGCTCTACCCTTCTACCCTTTAATGAAGAAACCATAAATTTTTCAATGTTTTATTAAATATAAAAAACTAGTAGAACACTTGTTTGATAGAAAAATAAAAAATATGATTTCAATGTTTTATTAAATATAAAAAACTAGTAGAACACTTGTTTGATAGAAAAATAAAAATTTTTCAAAGTGACAGAGGAGGTGAGTTTACCTCATTAGCACTCAAACTGTTGGGTTTTGTACCCTAAACTCGTGACTTGTATTGTGAACAAATTATTTATTTATTCAATAAAATAATGGTTATTTTATTTGCATAACTCAAAATCCAATAAACAAGCATCCAAGGTTATTTGATGTAGCTTAAACAGTATGTGGTCGACATACGGGTGGATGATGTTCCAATAATAAACTAAAGAGTCTATAGTATATGGATAAGGTTGAGTACCTTATCCTGGTGAAACAATGGATATGACCCACTTCATGTGGAGATATGCGAGTGGGGGTGTCCTCTATACAATGAGTTTGTATGAGACTGGACTGCAAAATAATTAATATCACATTATAACACTGTTGATCGAATAGATTAATATTTTGTAGGGTGACCATATGTAACTCGATCTTAATCCTGAGCGAGTTATGAACTCCTGCCTACGAGGAATCGTCTAAATAACATTAAAGCCCAATTATCTTATTTATCTTTTGGTTTTGTTTTATAAACCAAAATTTGTGGCCAGCCGTCTACTCCAGAAAAAAAAAACAGTGGCCGTGTGTTTCTTGTGGTGGTGTTGGCGCACAAAAATGGGTGTGGCGACAATGGTGTTCTTTAGCAGAGAAGAAAAAGAACGTTAGCTTGTAGAGCATTGTCGGCATCCTATTCTCTTGAGGTGAGTGAGGTTTTTCATTATGTATTCCTAAGTAGCTATTGTCGTAGGGAAATTGGGATTTTTGACCCCTTTCAATAACTACTTTGGACTTTTGACCCCCTTTTGATTTTTACCTATTTATGACCCTTCCACCTCAGATTTCTGATCCCTCCCCTTATTTTGCTTGGTAAAATTACCAAGTTACCCTCAATTTAAAAAAAGAAATCAAACCCAGCCCTCCCCTCCTTTCCCTCCCTGTCTCGGTCCTTCCCCTCCCTCATTCACTATCTCGTTGTCCAACCCACTCTTCATCCCGGTCTCTCCCTCACAACCAGAAAGTTCATCTTCGTCGTTTCTTCTTCGTCTCCCTCACTTCGTCTCTATCAGAGCTTTCCCCCTTCCCTAATTGAGGTAATTTTTCTTTCGAACTCGCGATCTTATTGTGAATGATTTTCTTCCTTTTTTTTCTTCGTTCTTTGCGTGGGTGTGAATGATTTCAACCTTCGGCTCTATCTGAAGTAGCCAAGGTTATTATGAAGTTTGATTTATTGTTGCTTCCATTGTTTTGTTTTAATTTTTGACTTTCAGGGTT